AGGCCCTTGAGTTTACAAGAAACTTCGAGGCCTAAAATTGCTTGCCCGGGAAAGTACTGGAATCTTCCTTTGCATCGTTTAAATACCCAACCTATCTCTCCCACTAGAATCAAGAAATACAAGAAACGAAGCAAGAAAAATACGACTCTGATTCGCCAAATCCCAACCAACTTAGAAGCAATTCCAAGAAATCGAGGAAGAAAATGTCTCTGATCCCAAGTTTTTTTGGCAACCGACGAGGCAACAATTTCGATTCCATCTCTGTCGACGCATAGGATCCCTTCAAGAATTTCTCATCACCTTTTCCAGGAAACTCCGCCTTCGTCAGCACTTGCGTGTTGGACTGGAAAAAGAAACCCCGAAGCCATTGTGTTCAAGCCGATCTTCCTGGATGAAGAAAGAGTGGAAGTGAAGTGGCAGATCAGATGGACAGGCTGCTTCAATCCAGCAGAGAGAGAGTATGAAAGGTAAGAGAGAAAATGATACGTACAATACATGGAAGACGGGACGCAAGATGATCATGAGGAGGTTTAGGTTGCCTGAGAATGTGAAAATGGATCAAGTTTAAAGCTTCTATTGGAACAATGGGGGTTCCACCGTTACTGTTCCCAAGGAGGAATGAAGAATCCTGATATCAAGACTATTCAGGATTTCTGGTTGAAGTTTGAGTTCTGACGTGAGGAAATCCTAGCAATAGTAATGCTTTAAGGGATTGTCGTGTGTTGATTAGAGTTTGCTGTTAATATTGGATGTCGTCCGGTTTTTTTTTTGGCAGTATTGCAATTGTGGTTAAATGAAAATGTAACATGTTTATCTGGTTAATGAAATTGATGCAGTTGTTCTAATTATGTGATCAGCCTACCTATTTTTCATTGCAAGTAACTGGTGTTTATGATCTTTTTTATGAATGTCCTTTCTCCAATCTGAAGCAAAGGGAAAGCACATTGGATCAAGTTCGACACCCAAATAAAGTTAACATCAAAGTACTTGCTAATTCCTATGTTGTTTACATGACCAATAAAGGATTTGTTATGATTAATTGGAAGCAACTGAATCAGAGCCAAAAATTGGCTAATGTACATGAATTAGAGCATATCTTTAATAATCAAGAAGTACAAGGAATGTATCATAACTCTGAAGAAGTTGCTTTCAGGATTTGGTCCTTGAAATCCGAAAGAGAACTATCAGTTGCAAAGATGGCTTGGAGATTCATATTGTCTCTGTCAAATATGTCGATAAGCTGTGAAGAAGATAAACCATGATCTTAATTTTTCTTTTCTTCTTCAGTTTTTCAGCATCCAATAGGACAGATTCATAGTATCATGATAACATTGTCAAATGCCAATAAGAGCAACAGTAATTCTTACACAATCCATGAATACATGCCATTGGCACATTTTCATGTACATTGTGAATGGATTTGGGCAGCATTTAAGGTGCTTGTGATTTGTGAGACTGGTTAGTTCACTATGACCTCTGCTTGCATCTGAAGCTCTGACAAATTAGTCAAGGATATCCTACAGTTGTTCCTGTAGCCCTTGCTTCATCAAAGAATCTCTGTATCAAAATGACAAGGTTTTTTTTACCCCTCTAAAATAGCAGTAACATCAAGAAGGAAACAAGTCATACTTATAAACCTTATATCTCCCTCTTCTAAGGCCAACGAAATGTGGCTCAACTTGAAATGTATTGTCTACTTTGATTTGAAGGTATTGCAATTTTGTCCTATAAAAAATTTCTCATAGATTTAAATTTAGACTTTTACATATATGAAACCATATCCACACATTTGTCTAATATAAGATTGGAGACGTCACAAGCTTCTTCCTCTCGCCTTTCTTCGTTTCCTCCAAATTCTCTTTCAAAAAATAAACTAAGTGGTACTTTTAACTCCTTCAACACACAGGCATAAGTTGGTTCTTCCACACGACATAATTCAACAACTTATAAATGAATACATAAATTTTCATTTCAAAAGAACTATTCTTTTATCAATAACCATGCAAATACCAGCAAAACCTCACAAAGTACTTACCTTTTGAATTTTGATAAATCAAGCAAGTAAATGTAAGACATGAAAATCCATAATGTTCTAGACATGCCGGAACGTTTTCTTCAATCGATTCAGTAGATAGACTTTAAATGAGATAGTTAATATGAATCAACTATGTTCATGAATGCATTCTCTTGTATTTTGAATTTGGCAATAATTTTAGTTAGGCTAATCCAAAATAAAGATTAAGATTAGGCTCGGATGTCTTTTTATCTTAAACAGAAAAAATGTTTTAAGTCAATTTCAGTTCTCAATGGGCTTTAAGTCCTCCAATTATCTCTGCATAAAGGCCATATATAATATGAATACCACGGAGTGTCCTAGAATAGAAGTGTTTTGGTCTTGTCATTGGCACAGGCGTGTGGATAATGTCCTAGAAAAATCTTTTCAATGCTGGAATCCTCCACAAGCACTATAAAATACCATTTCAGGGTGCTCTTAATACCCAGACAACGAAAGCATAGAAAAATTTAGACAGCTCTCTTAATTTCCTTACGACCAAAATTTCTAGCAATCTCGTTTTTCATTCCTGAAAATGTCTCTGATTCCAAGCTTCTATGGCCGCCGCAGCAATGTCTTTGATCCTTTCTCTCTTGATATTTGGGATCCTTTCAAGGACTTCCCTTTCTCTTCTTCTACCACACGAACTCCAGAAACCTCAGCATTTGTTAACACCCGAATCGACTGGAAGGAAACCCCAGAAGCTCATGTGTTCAAGGCTGATGTTCCAGGGGCTTAAGAAAGAAGAAGTGAAAGTTGAGGTTGAAGATGACAGGGTGCTTCAGGTAAGCGGAGAGAGGAACATAGAGAAGGAAGACAAGAACGACAAGTGGCATCGCGTGGAACGTAGCAGTGGGAAGTTCATGAGGAGTTTCAGGTTGCCTGAGAATGCCAAGATGGATCAGATCAAAGCTTCTATGGAAAATGGGGTGCTTACTGTGACTGTTCGAAAAGTGGAAGTTAAAAAGCCTGATGTCAAGGCTATAGAGATTTCTGGTTAAAAAATTGAACTTGAGTTTTTGAGCCGTCTGGGACAGATTACTCAAAATAACTACTTCAAGAGAAAAAGATGTTTGTGAGTTATGAAGCGAATGCCTTTATCTCTGCCAGATGAGAGTATTGTAGCCATTGTGTGTAATAAAATGTATGCACTACTACGTTTTTGTATGACGTTTGTGTGATTCTGAGCTTTGCTATGTAGAAAATAAAAAAAATGTTGTTAGTACTTAGCCTTCTTCCCTGTTTATAAAATTGTGGATTTTGTATGGAATAGTTACTCATTCATGAAACTTACATTTGGACAATAAATATACAATTGCATGTCATAATGTGCATAAGCATAAATGAAATATACACGTGCAGGAACAAAAACTCAAAAGTCAAGACTAATTCCTTGGGCTTAACAGTTTTCTGATCTTAGTGAACTTTGCAATCCTTATCAAGGCCAAAATCGCAGAGTTTGGTTTAGGAGTTTAGCAAGCTGATAGCAAATGACAGCGCTCCCAGTTCCTTGAATTCAGCCTAATTGGGGCTAAAACATATGCCATTTGCCAATGACAGCATTTAGCATTTGCAGGGTCGTGCGAGTCATATTAATTAGATGCAGATAGTTGAAACTTTAAAGGAATTTTAACTAATAATGGCTTGACTTTATTCATTTAGGTTGGTAACATACATTTTCTTAATTCACTAATGGAATTGTGGAAAGAAGCCTTCTTATGGCCTTTTCTATCTCTATGCTTACCAAGCTATTATCCATTTCCAAAGCTACTTTCCATACATGATCACAAGTTCTGCATCCACCCTTTGATCCCCGAAACATGGTTGGCATATCATTGCAACTCATGCACATATACTTTCCAGGATTGAGTACCAGCTACAAAGGCTCCAAAATCCTCCTATGGCCTTATGAGCCGATACTTCCTTTTGGGGTGCCCCACTTCACAATTAGCCCTCCATCTCCAATAATCTCATTGAAATCTTTAGGCAATAATATGTGAAGATGGATAAGGTGAAAGCTTACATTGAAAATGGAGTTCTTACTGTTATTGTTCCTAAGAAGGAAGTGAAGAAACCTGATGTCAAAGCCATCGAGATTTCTGGTTGAAAACTTAAAGGTTTGAATGATATACTTTTTCTTTGGATTCAATTATATATTATTTCACTATATATTCTAAACATCCTTCTGAAATTAGTATTGTAAATTTGTAAATGTAACCGTCCTCTAGTTTTCTCTTCAATCTTCTTTACAGCTAAGTGAGATTGGTGTTATTCAGGCCAAGGAAAAACCACCAAGTCCTTTAAAGCAGTAGAGAGTTCGCACTAAAAAAACCTTTGCAACAATTATAGAGTCGTAACTATTTTTGCACAGTGGAAAGGGATGCTACCAAGCTTTGAAAAGAAGTGGCACAGCTGCCAATGGAAGTTCAGAACCATTATTTCTTTTTGGTACATGGGGAATAAAGAAAGCATAAGGGATGAGTTTCATCTCTTATAATCAATCTGATGATATATGCTTTACTAAATCATTCAAATAATTGCAGGAAGAATCTTTCTTTGTCAGTTATTTTTTATGATGTTCTCTCCTTCTACATCTTCACTAAAAAAAATTATTGTGTCACAGGTACTTCTAATACAAAAAATAAATATTTTTTGTTTTTGTTAATCTTGTAAATATTTTTTTTAAATTTATAATTATATCTTTTAATTATTTTTATAAATATTATCGATTCATATTTAAAATAAAAAAAAATGATGCAAATACCCAACAAAGACAATACAATTATAGTTATAAACCTCGACAATATGCCAGCAGAAGTGAATGGGCTAGGCGAGGCCCATTTGAGAGCCGAATGAGGAAGAAAATCCAGGTTCGTCAGGAGAAGCCTGGAAGCCCCTTTAGTTTACAAGAAACTTCGACCATCGGGGCCGAAATTGCTTGCCCCAGAAAGTACAAGAATCTTCCTTTCAATGGTTTAAATACCCAGTCTATCCTTTCTCACGCATCAAGAAATACAAGAAGCGAAGCAAGAGAAAGGGAAATACAAGAAGTTGACTCCGATTCTCAAAATCCCAAGCAACTTAGAACCAATTCCAAGAAATTGAGAAAGAAAATGTCTCTGATCCCAAGTTTCTTCGGGAACCGACGAGGCAACAATTTCGATCCATTCTCTGTCGATGTATGGGATCCCTTCAAGAATTTTCCATCACTTTCCCAAGAAAACTCCGCCTTCGTCAGCACTCGTGTTGACTGGAAAGAGACCCCGGAAGCCCATGTGTTCAAGGCTGACCTTCCTGGACTGAAGAAAGAGGAAGTGAAAGTGGAGATCGAAGATGACAGGGTGCTTCGAATCAGCGGGGAGAGGAATGTTGAGAAGGAAGAGAAGAATGATACGTGGCATCGCGTGGAGCGGAGCTGTGGCAAGTTCTCGAGGAGGTTTAGGTTGCCTGAGAATGTGAAGATGGATCAAATTTACGCTTCTATGGAAAATGGGGTTCTCACCGTAACTATTCCCAAGGCGGAATTGAAGAAGCCTGATATCAAGACTATTCAGATTTCTGGTTGAAGTTTGAGGTTCTGAACATGAGAAAATCCTTGCAATAGTAATGTTTTAAGGGATTATCGTGAGTTAAATTGGTGTTCGCTGTTAATATTGGAAGTTGTCTCAGTCGATTACGTAATTACAATGTGGGTTTTTTTTTTTTCTTGCTAGTATTACGATGTGGTTAAAATGCTGTAAGAATGTAATCTGGTAATGAAATTATGAGTTGTTCTTAATTGTGTGATCAGCCTACCTATCTTTTCGTTGAAATTAACTGTTTTTTAATGATCTTTTTATGGTAATGTCCTGTCTTAATCTGAAGCAAAGGGAAAACACATAGAATCAATGTTCAAAAACCCAGGATAGAAATTTAAGAAATCGAAGTACTAGCAAATTCTTATGTTGTTTACATGACCTATAAAGGATTTTTTATGATTAATTGGAAGCAACTGAATCAGAACCAAAAATTGGCTAATATGGGCAATCATTACCTGATTTAGAGCACACTGTTAATAATCAAGAGGTTCAAGGGATGTATCTTTGTTTGGACTGGAACTGAAAAGTACAAGGGATGTATCTGAACTCTGAAGAAGTTGCTTTCAGGATTTGGTCCTTGAAATCCGAAAGAGAACTATCAGTTGCAAAGATAGATTGGAGATTCATATTGTCTCTGGAAACTATGTTGATAAGATGTGAAGAAGATAGCCCAAGATCTTAATTTTTTTTTTCTTTTTCAGTTTTTCAGCCTCCAATAGGACAGATTCATAGTATCATAATTACATTGTTAAATGCCTATATAAGCAACAGTAATTCATATACAATCCATGGAAACATGCCATTGGCACATTTTCAGATACATTGTGAATGGATTGGGGCAGCATTTAAGGTGCTTGTGACTTGTGAGACTGGTTAGGCCACTATGACCTCTGCTTGCATATGAAGCTCTGACAAAGTAGTCAAGGATATCCTACAGTTGTTCCTGTAGCCCTTGCTTCATCAAAGAATCTCTGCATCAAAATGACAAGGCTTTTTTCCCCCCACTCTAAAATAACAATAACATCAACAAGGAAACAAGTCATACATATAAACCTTAGATCTCCCTCTTCTAAGGCCAATGAAATGTGGCTCAATTAGTGGAAGAAAATCTGTGTAGCTTCTTCCTCTAACCTCTCTTCTTTTCCACCAAATCCTCTTTCGAAAAACAAACAAGTGGTACTTTTAACCCCTTCAACACTTGGGCATAAGTTGGTTCTTCCACATGACATAATTCGACAACTTATAAATGAATACATAAATTTTTTGTATCAGAAAAAAGGATTCTTTGATCAATAACCATGCAAATACCAGCAAAACCTCATAAAGTAATTACCTTTTGGCTTTTGATAAATCAAGCAAGTAAATGTAAGACATGGAAAATCCATAATGTTCTAGGCATGCCAAAACGTTTTATTTAATCAATTCAGTAGATAGATTTCATATGAGATAGATAATATGTATTAATTATTTTCACGAATGCATTCTCTTGTATTTTGAATTTGGCAATAATTTCAGTTAGGCTAGATCCAAACTTCCATTTCAGTTTTCATTGGGCTTCAAGTCCTCCAATTATCTCTGTCTAAAGCCCATATAGAATATGAATATTCCGGAGTGTCCAATGTACTGGAAAATGATTTAAACCAAAAAATAGAAAAATCTTCTGAATGCTAGAATCGTCCCTAGTACTATAAAAAAACCTTTCAGAGTGCTCTCAACACCCAGACAAACAAAGCAAAGCATAGAATTAAGGTAGCTCTCTCGTTTTCCTTACTACAGAATATTCTTCTAATCTCGTTTTCCATTCCTGAAAATGTCTGATTTCAAGCTTCTTTGGCCGTCGCAGCAATGTCTTTGATCCTTTCTCTCTTGATGTTTGGGATCCTTTCAAGGACTTCCCTTCTCTTCTTTCTCATTCACCACACTAACTCCAGAAATTTCAGCATTTGTCAACACCCGAATCGACTGGAAGGAAACCCCAGAAGCTCACGTGTTCAAGGCTGATGTGCCAGGGCTTAAGAAAGAAGAAGTGAAAGTTGAGGTTGAAGATGACAGGGTGCTTCAGATAAGCGGAGAGAGGAACATAGAGAAGGAAGACAAGAACGACAAGTGGCATCGCGTGGAACACAGCAGTGGGAAGTTCATGAGAAGGTTCAGGTTGCCTGAGAATGCCAAGATGGATCAGATCAAAGCTATGGAAAATGGGGTGCTTACTGTGACTGATCCAAAGGTGGAAGTTAAAAAGGCTGTAGAGATTTCTGGTTAAAAAATTGAACTTGAGTTTCTAAGCCGTCTATTTCCTGCGACAGATTACTCAAAATAACTACTTCAAGAGAAAAAGATGTTTGCGAGTAATGAAGCGAGTGCCTTTTTCTCTGCCAGATGAGAGTATTGTACCCATTGTGTGCAATTAAATACATGTACTACAATGTTTTCGTATGAAGTTTGCGTGGTTCTGAGTTTTGCTTTGTAGAAGCTAAAAAAAATTTTGTTGATACTTAGCTTTCTTCCCTGTTTACAAAATTGTGGATTTTGTATGGAATAGTTACTCATTCATGAAACTTACATTTGCACGATAAATATACAATTGCATGTCATAATGTGCAAAAGCATAAATGAAATATACACGTGCAGGAACAAAAACTCAGAAGTCAAGACTAATTCCTTGGGCTTAACATTTTTCTGATGTTAGTGAACTTGCAATCTATGGCAAAGGCCAAAATCAGAGTTTGGTTTAAGAGTAATAAGCCGATACCAGATGACAGCGCTCAATTCAGCCTATTGGGGCTAAAACATATGCCATTTGCCAATGACAACATTTTGCATTTGCAGGGTCATGTGAGTCATATTGATTAGATGTAGATAGTTGAAACTTTAGAGGAATTTTAACCAAGAATGGCTTGACTTTATTCATTTATTTTCTTAATTCTCTCATGGAATTGTAGAAAGAAGACTTCTTATGGCCTTCATCTAGCATAAGCATTCTTATGGAACTTTTCTATCTATATGCTTACCAAGCTATTGACCATTCCCAAACGTACTTTCCATATATTGGTCACAAGTTTTCCATCCACCCTTTGATTCCCGAAACTTGGTTGACATATCATTGCAACTCATGCACAAATACTTTCCAGGATTGAGTTCCAGCCATAATGGCTCCCAAAACCTCGTATGCCTTTATGAGCTGATACTTCCTCTTGGTGCCCCACTTCACGATTAACCCTCCATCTCTAATAATTTCATTGAAATATTTAGGCAATGATATGTGAAGATGGATAAGGTGAAAGCTTCCATTGAAAATTGAGTTATTACTGTTACTGTTCCTAAGAAGGAAGTGAAGAAACCTGATGTCAAAGCCATCGAGATTTCAGGTTGAAAACTTGAAGGCTTGAATGTTTCGATATATTTTTTCTTTGGATTCAATTATATATTGCTTCACTATATGTCCTAACATTGTTCTTAAATTAGTATTGTAAATTTGTCAATGTAACCTTCCTTTAGTTTTCTCTTCAATCTTCCTTACAGTCAAGTGAGATGGTGTTATTCAGGCCAAGGAAAAACCACCAAGTAAAGTCCTTTAAAACAGTAGAGAACTTGCACTAATAAAACCTTTGCAACAATTATAGAGTTGTTAACTATTTTTGCACAGTGGAAAGAGATGCTACCAAGCTTTGAAAAGAAGTGGCACAGCTGCCAATTGAAGTTCAGAACCATTATTTCTTTTTGGTACATGGGGAATAAAGAAAGCATAAGGGATTAATTTCATCTCTTATAATTAATCTGATGATATATGCTTTACTAAATCATTCAAATAATTGCAGGAAGAACCTCTCACTGTCAGTCAGTCTTCATTATGTTCTCTCCTTTTACATCTTGATTAAAAAAAATTATTATATCACAATTCATATACATTTCTAATACAAAAAATATATATTTATTTGTAAATCCTGTAAATAATTTTTTAATTTATAATTATATCTTTTAATTATTTTTATAAATATTATCGATTCATGTTTAAAATTAAAAAAAATTATACAACTACCCAACAAAGGCAATACAATTATAGTTATAAACCTTGGCAATATGCCGGCAGAAGTAAATGGGCTAGGGGAGGCCCATTTGGGAGCCGAATGAGGAAGAAAATCCAGGTTCCTCAGGAGAAGCCTGGAAGTCCCTTGAGTTTACAAGAAACTTCATCCATCGAGGCCCAAAATTGCTTGCCCCAGAAAGTACATGAATCTTCCTTTCAATCGCTTAAATACCCAGTCCAAATACAAGAAGCGAAGAAAGAGACAGGGAAACACAAGAAGTTGACTCGATTCTCAAAATCCCCAATCAACTTAGAAGCAATTCCAAGAAATTGAGAAAGAAAATGTCTCTGATCCCAAGTTTCTTCGGCAACCGGCGAGGCAACAATTTCGATCCATTCTCTGTCGATGTATGGGATCCCTTCAAGAATTTCCCATCACTTTCCCAAGAAAACTCCGCCTTCGTCAGCACTCGTGTTGACTGGAAAGAGACCCCGGAAGCGCATGTGTTCAAGGCCGACCTTCCTGGACTGAAGAAAGAGGAAGTGAAAGTGGAGATCGAAGATGACAGGGTGCTTCAAATCAGCGGGGAGAGGAATGTTGAGAAGGAAGAGAAGAATGATACGTGGCATCGCGTGGAGCGGAGCAGTGGCAAGTTCTCGAGGAGGTTTAGGTTGCCTGAGAATGTGAAGATGGATCAAGTTAAAGCTTCTATGGAAAATGGGGTTCTCACCGTTACTATTCCCAAGGCGGAATTGAAGAAGCCTGATATCAAGACTATTCAGATTTCTGGTTGAAGTTTGAGGTTCTGAACATGAGAAAATCCTTGCAATAGTAATGTTTTAAGGGATTATCGTGAGTTAAATTGGTGTTCGCTGTTAATATTGGAAGTTGTCTCAGTCGATTATGTAATTAAAATGTGGGTTTTTTTTTTTTTTTTGCTAGTATTACAATGTGGTTAAAATGATGCAAGAATGTAATTTGGTAATGAAATTATGAGTTGTTCTTAATTGTGTGATCTGTACCTATCTTTTCATAGCAATTAACTGTTGTTTAATGATCTTTTTATGGTAATGTCCTGTCTCAATCTGAAGCAAAGGGAAAGCACATTGAATCAATGTTCATAAACCCAGGATAGAAATTTAAGAAATCAAGGTACTAGCAAATTGTTATGTTGTTTACATGACCTACAAAGGATATTTTATGATTAATTGGAAGCAACTGAATCAGGACCAAAAATTGGCTAATATGGGCAATAAGTGCCTGATTTAGAGCACATTGTTAATAATCAAGAAGTTCAAGGGATGTTTCTTTGTGTGGACTGGAACTGATAAGTGCAAGGGATGTATCTGAACTCTGAAGAAGTTGCTTTCATGATTTGGTCCTTGAAATCCGAAAGAGAACTATCAGTTTCAAAGATAGATTGGAGATTCATTTTGTCTCTAGAAACTATGTTGATAAGCTGTGAAGAAGATAGCCCATGATCTTAATTTTTTTTTTCTTTCTCAGTTTTTCAGCGTCCAATAGGACAGATTCATAGTATCATAATAACATTGTCAAATGCCTATAAGAGCGACGGTAATTCATACACAATCCATGGAAACATGCCATTGGCACATTTTCATGTACATCGTGAATGAATTGGGGCAGCATTTAAGGTGCTTGTGACTTGTGAGACTGGTTAGCCGACTATGACCTCTGCTTGCATCTGAAGCTCTGACAAAGTAGTCAAGGATATCCTACAGTTGTTCCTGTAGCCCTTGCTTCATCAAAGAATCTCTGCATCAAAATGACAAGGCTTTTTTTCCCCCACTCTAAAATAACAATAACATCAACAAGGAAACAAGTCATACATATAAACCTTAGATCTCCCTCTTCTAAGGCCAATGAAATGTGGCTCAACTAGTGGAAGAAAATCTATGTAGCTTCTTCCTCTAACCTCTCCTCTAACCACTCTTCTTTTGCTCCGAATTCTCTAACGAAAAACAAACAAGTGGTACTTTTAACCCCTTCAACACTTGGGCATAAGTTGGTTCTTCCACATGACATAATTCGACAACTTATAAATGAATACATAAATTTTTTATATCAGAAAAATTATTCTTTGATCAGTAAGCATACAAATACCAGCAAAATCTCATAAAGTAATTACCTTTTGGCTTTTGATAAATCAAGCAAGTAAATGTAAGAGGAAAATTCATAATGTTCTAGGCATGCCAGAACGTTTTCTTCAATCAATTCAGTAGATAGATTTCATATGAGAGAGATAATGTGTATCAACTATTTTCATGAATACGTTCTGCTCTATTTTAATTTGGCAATAATTTCAGTTAGGCTAGATCCAAACTTCCACTTCAGTTTTCATTGGGCTTCAAGTCCTCCAATTATCTCTGTTTAAAGCCCATGTAGAATATGAATATTCCGGAGTGTCCTAGACAATGTACTAGAAAATGATTTAAACCAAAAAATAGAAAAATCTTCTGAATGCTAGAATCGTCCTAAGGACTATAAAAAAACCTTTCAGGGTGCTCTACATACCCGGCCAAACAAAGCAAAGCATAGAAAAATTAAGGTAGCCCTCTCAATTTTCCCGACTACCAAATATTCTTGTAATCTCGTTTTCCATTCCTGAAAATGTCTCTGATTCCAAGCTTCTTTGGCCGCCGCAGCAATGTCTTTGATCCTTTCTCTCTTGATGTTTGGGATCCTTTCAAGGACTTCCCTTTCTCTTCTTCTTCATTGACAACACAAACTCCAGAAACCTCAGCCTTTGTCAACACCCGAATCGACTGGAAGGAAACCGAAGAAGCTCACGTGTTCAAGGCTGATGTTCCAGGGCTTAAGAAAGAAGAAGTGAAAGTTGAGGTTGAAGATGACAGGGTGCTTCAGATAAGCGGAGAGAGGAACATAGAGAAGGAAGACAAGAACGACAAATGGCATCGCGTGGAACGTAGCAGTGGGAAGTTCATGAGGAGGTTCAGATTGCCGGAGAATGCCAAGACGGATCAGATCAAAGCTTCTATGGAAAATGGGGTGCTTACTGTGACTGTTCGAAAAGTGGAAGTTAAAAAGCCTGATGTCAAGGCTGTAGAGATTTCTGGTTAAAAAATTGAACTTGAGTTTTTAAGCCGTCTGTTTCCTGCGACAGATTACTCAAAATAGCTACTTCAAGAGAAAAAAGATGTTTGTGAGTTATGAAGCGAGTGCCTTTATCTCTGCCAGATGAGAGTATTGTACTGGTTGTGTGTAATGTGACTATTATGTTTTTGTATGAACTTTGTGTAGTTGTGAGCTTTGCTATGTAGAAAATGAAAGAAATCTTGTTAGTACATATGTTTAGCCTTCTTCACTGTTTTTAAAATTGTGGATTTTGTTTGGAACAGTTAGTCTTTCAAGAAACTTTATATTTGGACAATACATACAATTGCATGTCATAATGTCCATAGGCATAAATGAAATATACATGTGCAGGAGGCCAAAATCAGAGTGTTTGGTTTTGGAGTTATAGCAAGCTGAAACCAAGTGACAGCGCTCCCAGTTCCTTCAATTCAGCGTAATTGGGGCTAAAGCATATGCCATTTGCCAATGACAACATTTAGCATTTGCAGGGTCATGTGAGTCATTGATTGGATGTAGATAGTTGAAACTTTGAAGGAATTTTAACAACTAATGGCTTGATATTCATTTAGGTTGATAAGACACATTTTCTTAATTCACTCATGAAATTATAGAAAAAAGCCTTCTCATGGCCTTCTTTATCTAGCGTAAGCCTTCTTATGGCCTTTTCTTTCTCTATGCTTACCAAGGTATTATCCATTTCCAAAGCTACTTTGATCCCCGAAACAGGGTTGACATTGCAACTCATGCACAAATACCTTCCAGGGTTGAGTTCCAGCCATAATGGCCCCGAAAACCTCTTATGGCCTTATGAGCCCATACTTCCTTTTGGGGTGCCCCATTTCACAATTAAGCCTGCATCTCCAATAATTTAATATGTGAAGATGGATAAGGTGAAAGCTCCCATTGAAAATGGAGTTCTTACTGTTACTGTTCTGATGTCAGCCATCGAGATTTCTAGTTGAAAACTTAAAGGCTTGAATGTTTTCATATAGTTTTTCTTTGGATTCAATTATATATTATTTTACTATATATTCTAACATCGTTCTGAAATTAGTATTGTAAATTTGTAAATGTAACCGTCCTTTAGTTTTCTCTTCAATCTTCTTTGCAGTTAAGTGAGATGGTGTTATTCAGGCCAAGGAAAAACCACTACGTAAAGTGCTTTAAAACAGTAAACAACTTGCACTAAATAAAACCTTTGCAACAATTATAGAGTTGTAACTATTTTTGCACAGTGGAAAGAGATGCTACCGAGCTTTGAAAAGAAGTGGCACAGCTGCCAATTGAAGTTCAGAACCATTATTTCTGTTTGGTACATGGGAATAAAGAAAGCATAAGGGATTAAATTCATCTCTTGTAATCAATTTGATGATATATGCTTTACTAAATCGTTCAAATAATTGCTGGAAGAACCTCCCTCTGTCAGTGAAAGCTCTGTTTTCTCCTTCAAATTCATGGCATTCTTTCTAACGTTCTCTCCTTCTACATCCAACATTAGTCGTTTTATAGCTTCTTCTATCTTCCCTCTTTCCAAATTATTATTCTCAAGTTCCAGGCCTACTTTCCAAACATGACATATGTACTTTGAGTCCAAGAGTTGGTCTCCTACAAAAGGCCTGCATAGCATTGGTACCCCTTCAGAAATACTCTCAAGAGTAGAATTCCATCCACAATGGCTCCAAAACCCACCCACTGCACTATGCGCCAACACCTTTCTCTGAGGTGCCCATTTCACTATACAACCCCTTTCTCCAACTCTATCTAGGAAATCCTTTGGCAATAACTCAATCCATTCCGACCCACGAACCAAACCAGGCCTAATCACCCACAAGAATGGCAGCTCACTGTTTGCTAGTCCCCAAGCTGTCTCGATTAGTTCTTGCTCATCTATGGTAGCCATGCTACCAAAACTGACGTAGAGAACAGATTTCAGGGCTTGTTTATCAAGCCAAGAAAGGCAGTTGGTTTCTTCCTTGAGTAATGAGCTGGACCTGGTTGCAGCTAATTTGTGAAACGGCCCTACTGGGAAAATTGGAGAAGGGAAGTATTCTTTGATCTTTGACAATACTGCTTCTTCTAGGAAGTCCATTGTGTTCACAATGATGGCTGATGAGCTCTTTGTGGCATGTATCACCTCAGTTCTCAACTTTGACATGGCATCTGTTGGATTTCGTAATATTGATGCAAGCAATTGTTGAAGCTGAAGGATTTGAAGGTCTACCTCTAGTGTTTGGTTTTCAGAAATAGAATCTGTAACAAAGATTGAATAAATGAATTAGATTTGAGAACAATTAGTAGATTGATTTGAGATCATTGAATCGTTAACTATGGCAGCAGAAGGAAAAAAAAAATCATGCCACTATTTTATTGTTGAATAGTCAGTTGTCCCCTATTATGCATTATTCATTCAAACTGAAAGAAAAGTCCCTGGGATAATGCCTTCAGGTTTCTGATATTCTGAAGAAAATCTATTTCTTCTGCATAATTCTATAGAATCTAACTACTAATGAAACATGTAATCACCATAGAACAGCTTGAAGCAGATAGTAAGGCAAGTCGAAAAGCACAAACGTTAATTAATCCAAACAAACCTGGAAAAGAAGTATAACCTTCCTTATCAGGATTGGGAAAGACAGCAAAAACTAGCATCGTGGCAGCAGCACTAGTACGCACACTAATCCCAGGAAGCCTGAGATCATCAGCAACAGATTGAGCAAAGTAACTTAGTGTGTCATAGATGATACCAGCAACATGATCGGTCGAATCTTTCTCATGCAATATTTGATTCATGCATTGCTGAAATGGAGCTAAGCAGTGTTTGTTCAGAGTCAACACGAGATTCGCAAAATCTCCAAGGGAGACATTGGATTCACTTAGCTTGTCTGGTATGGGTCTGAAGGTGAATTCAGGGTGGTTTGAAGGGTTAGGAGAGTTAAATTCAGGGTGAACTATAATGATTGAAAAGCCTTTCGAGTGTAAGATAGTGGCTAGCTGGAGCATAGGGTTTATGTGGCCTTGAAATGGGTATAGGACAAGCACCCAACGGCCTGCCTTCTTTCCTTCTTTCTCCATCAATTGCTCTCCCTGTTGATTCAGCGTTGCAAGTCTCTTGGCTCTGCTGTATCGCGCCTGCAACTCAATAGAAAAAGAAATTAAAGACTCTCAGGCCAATTGAATTCATCCTTTACAAAGAAATTGGCAGAAGATGCCAAAAAAAAAAGCCATGGTAATGACTTACGTCAATTCACTTTTGCTTGACAAGTTCGATTTGAGTTCTCTATTTTGACTGGAAATGAGGTTCTTGATTAATTTTAAATAGTTTTAAAAAGTGGAAAAAGACTCCCATGCCAATGGAATTCACCCCTTGCAAGAAATCGGCAGAAGATGGTGGGATAATTTGCATTTAGACGCAAAGTCAACAAACTATGACAAAGACTGAAATAATAATGCAAATTGAGAAAAGTATAGAATGGTCCGAACTTTATTTATTAATATTATTAAAATTTTTTTGCAGGGCTTGCCTCCTCCAGATTTTCCCCTGGATTCGAGTTTTGCAAGTTTTGCCACATAGACAAATATGATTTTTTAAAAATGAAAATTATAATTAAATTTGATAGTTTTAAATACATATAAAAAATATAAAAATAATACAATTTAAAATTTTAATAAAATTATATATAAAAAACTTCAAAATATATTTATATATCAATATAAATAAATACTATACAAATATAAAAATTATAAATCTAAGAATAGTATTAATAATTTATGCTGACTTTTCTTTTTCTTGACAAGTTCCATTAGAGTTTTTTATTATGACCGGAAAACGAGGTTCGTAATTTTCGAAAGTTTTAAAAAGTGAAATTTACTTAAAGAGATTCTTTATTTTCAAGAGTTTTAACAAAGTGAAATTTCTTTCACCCTCAAATTTTAAAGAAAAAAGCCAAAGCAACTCACCGTACCATCCACTTCCCCAGAAAATGATAATGATAAACATAATAATATTTGTATAGGTCTAGGGAGACAAGAAAATTTTATGACAAAGAGTGCCATCTTGTCTTTGGTTTGATGGAAAAAGATTGGTTTCACTATTAATTTAATAATTAAAGTGACTTGTCAAAAAATTAAAAAAACAAAAAAAACCAGTTAGGAACACATTTCGAAACGCATTCAAATGCTAAAGTTACTAAAATATAAAAAGTATTATTGAAAATGTGTCAGATGCGTCAGACTCAACAAAGAGATAAACAGAAGATGTTTCAGATGAGATAATAATATTTAAATATATATTGAAATAATTCTTTGATATCCAAAAAGTAGCCATGAGGGCTAACAAACAATAAATCATGGGTAGGTTTTGCATACGCATGGTTTCAATCAAGCATGCGCCACCATTTTCATTTTTCAATATCGGAATGTGGACCTGACACTAAAATAAATTCTCTAATCATTCAATATGGATCGAAATTAATGACTGGTTGAATTATTTTCTGCTCCTGATACATTTTTTTTTTTTTTGCGTTTGTGTGCATGAAATAAAATGTGTGAAAACAACCATCTGAAAATCAAAAGAATACACAAAACACTGATAATTTATTGAAAGTAGGCAGCCATACTCAATTAACTGCAGAAACAACCAAGCATGAGCTATGTAATTAATCAAAATTACAGCAGAATTTGCTTTGTGAACTCGTTCAAGGAGCTCCATGAAGAACCGCCTTGGCTTAAACGAAGCTCTGCTTTCTCCTTCAAATCCATAGCGTTCTTTCTCATCTCCTCTCCCTCCATATCCACCATTAGTCTTTTTATAGCTGCTTCTATATTTCCTCTTTCGAACGTATCCTGCAATTTCAAGCCTATTTTCCAAACTTGACAGATGTAGTTTGAGTTCAAGAATTGGTCTCCAAAGAAAGGCTTGCATAGCATTGGTACCCCTTCACAGATGCTCTCAATGGTTGAATTCCATCCACAGTGACTCCAAAATCCACCCACTGCAGCATGCGCCAACACTTCCTTTTGAGGCACCCATTTCGAAATGTAACCTCTTTCTCCCACACTCTCCTGCAACCCATTTGGCAATGACTCAATCCATTCTGAGCCACGAATCAAACCAGGTCTAACCACCCACAAGAAGGGTTGTTTACTGTCAGCTAGGCCCCAAGCTGTCTCAATTAGTTCTTGCTCATCGATGCTGGCCAAGCTACCAAAGCTTACATAGATGACAGATTTCGGGGCCTGTTTGTTAAGCCAAGAGATGCAGTTAGCATCCTCCGTCCGTAATGAGCTGCAAATGGTTTGAGCTAATTTGTGGAATGGCCCTACGGTGAAAATTGGAGCAGGGAAGTATTCTTTGATCTTTGACAGTACTGCTTGTTCAAGGAAGTCCATTGTGTTCACAATTATAGCTGATGAGCTCTTCACCCCGTTTGTGAATGCAACTCTCACCTCTGTCACCGCATCTGTTGAATTCTGCGATAGTAATGCGCGATTTTGTTGAAGCTGAAGGGATTGAAACTCTGGCACTTCGTTTGCAGAAAAAGAATCTTAACGCAAATTTAAAGAGTTTAGGATCAGTGGATTGAATAGTTTATCATGATTGCAGACAAAAATTATGTATAATTGCTTTGTCGTTGAAATTGGTTATGATTTTGCCATAGAGTGCAAGGTTATTGCCAGACAGAAAGTTCTTGTGATGCCTTCAGGCTTTTGTTATAATAACGTTATAGAAATTATTCCAAGGAATTCTTCGGCAAAATTATATAAATTCTAATTTCCAACTGATAATCATGTATAGAAATTGATGCACTTAGTGACACATGAAAACAAGTATACCTTTCCGATCAAGATGAGGAAGCACAGGATAGAGCAACAATGATGCAGCTACACTAGTACGCACAGATATTCCAGGCAGGCTCAGGTCATCAGCAACAGTTTGAGCACAGTACATGAATGTATCATAGAGGATGCTGGAAATATGATCATGCGAATCTTTCTGATGCATTATCCTTTTCATGCATTCCTGAAATGGTGCTGCACAGTTGTTGTTGACACGCAGCGCAAAATTTGCAAGATCTCTATCTGAGATTTCAGATTCGGTTAGCTTATCTGGTATCGGGATGAAGGTGAATTCGGGGTGGTTTGAAGGGTTAGGAGAGTTCACTTCAGGGTGAACTATAGTAATTGAGAAACCTTGTGAGTGTAAGATAGCAGCTAGCTGAAGCATGGGAGTTATGTGGCCTTGAAATGGGAACATAACAAGCACCAAATGACCAGACTTCTGTAGTTTCTCCATTGCTTTCTCTGTTTCTCCCGACATTTTGGTAAAGTCGATGGTGGGATATTTGCATTTAGAGGGGAAGGCAACAAACTTATAATAAGAGGGGCTGAAATAATAAACCAAGTTGAGAAAAGTATAGAATCCTTTATATAAATGCTTCAGATCTACGGTGAACATGTCCACAGCGGTCCACGTGTCAATACTCCATTGACCTTTTTTTGTTTTTTATTTTTTTCTCTTTCAGAGAAGATGTACGTGCCGGGCATGTGATTTTTCAGTTGCCACGTGTCTCCGTTCTATTCGTCATTTTTCTTTTTTTTTAATTAATAAAATTTTAAAAAGTTATACAATATATATATTTGTAAAGAAGTTATTTTTATATGTATTAATTTGTTCCAAAGCGATCCCTAGTCCCTACACCTCACACTTCAAGACCCAAATTTGGTTCCGAAACAAAGATGGTAGAAATATCATTTTTCGGTGGTCAAATTTCACAAAAAATCACTGAAAATCCAAAACTTTTTGGTTTTCCAGAATCATGACCTACTTTAAAGCCTCGATTCTCTTATAATATAAAGAATCTGTTCAAAACACTTTGATCATTGGAAAGAACACATTTCATACTATAAAAATAATAAAAAAATTGATTTAATAGTTTAAAATATTTGAAAAGATATCAAGATTTTGAATCAAATCTTTTCTTTCGAATCAAACATCAACAAGGAATCAAGTCATAAACCTTAGATCTCCCTCTTCTAAGGCCAATGAAATGTGGCTCAACTAGTGAAAGAAAATCTATGTAGCTTCTTCCTCTAAACACTCTTCTTTTGCTTCGAATTCTCTAACGAAAAACAAACAAGTGGTACTTTTAACCCCTTCAACACTTGGGCAAAGTTGGTTCTTCCATGTGACATAATTCGACAACTTATAAATGAATACATAAATTTTTTGTATCAGAAAAATTATTCTTTGATCAGTAAGCATACAAATACCAGCAAAACCTCATAAAGTAATTACCTTTTGGCTTTTGATAAATCAAGCAAGTAAATGTAAGACATGGAAAATCCATAATGTTCTAGGCATGCCAGAACGTTTTCTTCAATCAATTCAGTAGATAGATTTCATATGAGAGAGATAATGTGTATCAACTATTTTCATGAATACATTCTGTTGTATTTTAATTTGGCAATAATTTCAGTTAGGCTATATCCAAACTTCCATTTCAGTTTTCATTGGGCTTCAAGTCCTCCAATTATCTCTGTTTAAAGCCCATATAGAATATGAATATTCCGGAGTGTCCTAGACAATGTACTAGAAAATGATTTAAACCAAAAAATAGAAAAATCTTCTGAATGCTAGAATCGTCCTAAGGACTATAAAAAAACCTTTCAGGGTGCTCTAAGTACCCGGCCAAACAAAGCAAAGCATAGAAAAATTAAGGTAGCCCTCTCAATTTTCCCGACTACAAATATTCTTGTAATCTCGTTTTCCATTCCTGAAAATGTCTCTGATTCCAAGCTTCTTTGGCCGCCGCAGCAATATCTTTGATCCTTTCTCTCTTGATGTTTGGGATCCTTTCAAGGACTTCCCTTTCTCTTCTTCTTCATTGACCACACAAACTCCAGAAACCTCAGCCTTTGTCAACACCCGAATCGACTGGAAGGAAACCGAAGAAGCTCACGTGTTCAAGGCTGATGTTCCAGGGCTTAAGAAAGAAGAAGTGAAAGTTGAGGTTGAAGATGACAGGGTGCTTCAGATAAGCGGAGAGAGGAACATAGAGAAGGAAGACAAGAACGACAAATGGCATCGCGTGGAACGTAGCAGTGGGAAGTTCATGAGGAGGTTCAGATTGCCGGAGAATGCCAAGATGGATCAGATCAAAGCTTCTATGGAAAATGGGGTGCTTACTGTGACTGTTCGAAAAGTGGAAGTTAAAAAGCCTGATGTCAAGGCTGTAGAGATTTCTGGTTAAAAAATTGAACTTGAGTTTTTAGGCCGTTTGTCTCTTGCGACAGATTACTCAAAATAGCTACTTCAAGAGAAAAAAGATGTTTGTGAGTTATGAAGCGAGTGCCTTTATCTCTGCCAGATGAGAGTATTGTACTGGTTGTGTGTAATGTGACTATTATGTTTTTGTATGAACTTTGTGTAGTTGTGAGCTTTGCTATGTAGAAAATGAAAGAAATCTTGTTAGTACATATGTTTAGCCTTCATCACTGTTTTTAAAATTGTGGATTTTGTTTGGAACAGTTACTCTTTCAAGAAACTTTAGATTTGGACAATACATACAATTGCATGTCATAATATCCATAGGCAAAAATGAAATATACATGTGCAGGAGGCCAAAATCAGAGTGTTTGGTTTTGGAGTTACAGCAAGCTGAAACCAAGTGACAGCGCTCCCAGTTCCTTCAATTCAGCGTAATTGGGGCTAAAGCATATGCCATTTGCCAATGACAACATTTAGCATTTGCAGGGTCATGTGAGTCATTGATTGGATGTAGATAGTTGAAACTTTGAAGGAATTTTAACAACTAATGGCTTGATATTCATTTAGGTTGATAAGATACATTTTCTTAATTCACTCATGGAATTGTAGAAAAAAACCTTCTCATGGCCTTCTTTATCTAGCGTAATCCTTCTTATGGCCTTTTCTTTCTCTATGCTTACCAAGGTATTATCCATTTCCAAAGCTACTTTGATCCCCGAAACAGGGTTGACATTGCAACTCATGCACAAATACTCTCCAGGGTTGAGTTCCAGCCATAATTGCTCCAAAAACCTCTTATGGCCTTATGGGCCTATACTTCCTTTTGGGGTGCCCCATTTCACAATTAAGCCTGCATCTCCAATAATTTAATATGTGAAGATGGATAAGGTGAAAGCTTCCATTGAAAATGGAGTTCGTACTGTTACTGTTCTGATGTCAAAGCCATCGAGATTTCTGGTTGAAAACTTAAAGGCTTGAATGTTTTCGTATACTTTTTCTTTTGATTCAATTATATATTACTTTACTATATATTCTAACATCGTTCTGAAATTAGTATTGTAAATTTGTAAATGTAACCGTCCTTTAGTTTTCTCTTCAATCTTCTTTGCAGTTTAAGTGAGATGGTGTTATTCAGGCCAAGGAAAAACCACTAAGTAAAGTGCTTTAAAACAGTAAACAACTTGCACTGAAAAAAACCTTTGCAACAATTATAGAGTTGTAACTATTTTTGCACAGTGGAAACAGATGCTACCGAGCTTTGAAAAGAAGTGGCACAGCTGCCAATTGAAGTTCAGAACCATTATTTCTGTTTGGTACATGGGAATAAAGAAAGCATAAGGGATTAAATTCATCTCTTGTAATCAATCAGATGATATATGCTTTACTAAATCGTTCAAATAATATTACAAGGTTTTGTTTACTAAAGAACAATGTTTTAATAAAACTGCCAATGTCTCCTCCGCCAACCAATTCAAAGATGAGGGGCGCAGATGCCATACCATAAACTGAACTGAAAGTACAAGGATCTTAGTTTCATGCCTTTTAATCAAACTGATGATATCTGCTTTGTTAACTCATTGAAAGAACAGCATGAAGAACCACCTTCCTGTAGACAAAGAGCTGCTTTCTCCTTCAAATCCATGGCATTCTTTCTCATCTCCTCTCCCTCCATATCCACCATTAGTCTTTTTATAGCTCCTTCAAAATTTCCTCTTTCCAACTTATCCTCCAATTTCAAGCCTATTTTCCAAACATGACAGATGTAGTTTGAGTTCAAGAATCGGTCTCCAAAGAAAGGCTTGCATGGCATTGGTACCCCTTCACAAATGCTCTCAACGGTTGAATTCCATCCACAGTGACTCCAAAATCCACCCACTGCAGCATGCGCTAGCACTTCCTTTTGAGGTGCCCATTTCGAAATGTAACCTCTTTCTCCCACACTCTCCTGCAACCCATTTGGCAATGACCCAATCCATTATGAGCCGCGAATCAAACCAGGTTTAACCACCCACAAGAAGGGTTGTTTACTGTTAGCTAGCCCCCAAGCTGTCTCAAATAGTTCTTGCTCATCGATGCTGGCATGTTCGATTCGAATGAAAGCTATAGCATTTAGAAACAGATCATAGTAATTGTTAGGAAGAGTGGGGTTCAACCCCATTGGTTTTGCCAATTAAAAGGCCTAAAGTCCTTTTTTGTTTTTGACCTAAGAGAGTCCTACTTATATAAAATCTTAAACAATAAAAAGGGGCTGTGTAATAGAGAAACAAAAGGTAGTGGCGCTAAACCAAGAGAAAGAAAAAATGCCAGGAAAAATAAAGAGAAAAGAGAGAAAAGAGAGTTGGTTGAACCGAAATTGATTCGTGGTTTAATTGAGTTGAAATTTTATCAACAAGTATATGATTTAGAGTTCTACATTCTGAATGATGAAGATTGGGTTTGAAGTTCCCTAGGAACAAATCCAATGTGTATTTGTTGAGTCACCTATTTAGTGAAATTTCTCTAATTATCTCTTTAGTTGTTAATTAGCTCTAGTTTTAGTTAGAAAAGGATTTTATATATCCATTATTTGATAGTGGAGGTTTTTAGTAGTCCGTGAATTTTTTCCTCTATGTTAGAGGGTTTTTCACGTAAATCTTAGTGTGTTTTATTTTTCTTACGTTGTTGATTGTTGACTACTACTATGGGTTTATTATGATATATTGCTTATGTGTTGTTGTATTTATTGCTTCAAGCCCAACAAGTGGTATCAAAGTAAAGATTATTTTGAGACATTGATACATAAGCAGCCCAAGACAGAAGTAACTTTCGTTTGAGATTATGGAAGGTGATACAAGTTTCATGATAAAATTAACAAAATAAAATCATTCAATTTGGAAACCTATGATGAAAGATTATTTATACTGCAAAGATTTCTATGAGCGAATATTAGGTGATTCGGCTAAAGATGAAAGCTAAAATAAGTTAGGCAGAAAAACATTGGCTACAATAAAAAAATAGATTGATATCAGCGTGTTTCATCATGTAACGCAAAAGATAGATGTCCACACTATTTGAAAAAATTGATAGCATTGTATGAGAAAAAAACATGTATGAATAAAGTTATACTTGTTAAAAAGCTTAAACTTTACAGTATAGAATGAACGATCGATTATAGAAGACTTAAGTGATTTTCAAGATATATTTAATCGAATGACTATCATGAAGCTTAAGATGGATGATGAAATGAATGAGTTGTTTCTTTTTGGTTCA